TTTTTTTTTTTTTTTTTTTTTTTTTGAACAGGGGAGGGGCAGAGAGAGGGAGACATAGAATCGGAAACAGGCTCCAGGCTCTGAGCCATCAGCCCAGAGCCTGACGCGGGGCTGGAACTCACGGACCGCGAGATCGTGACCTGGCTGAAGCCGGATGCTTAACCGACTGCGCCACCCAGGCGCCCCTGATTTAGCAGGTTCTAAATTCCATGGAAAATGACTATATATTCCCTGATGTAGTAAACTAAGAAAATAAAAATAAAAACAAAAACAAAATAAGGTAGTACGGGAGTTAAGTGAGCAAATGGTGCATTATTATGATAAATTCTCAAAGAAGGACTTAATCTTGATGAAGTAGCCAAGGCACGCTGAATTTGTTGCTTTCTGACTGGGTAGTATTTTTTCTTGGGGCACAAAGGTCCATTTGAATGATATGGTTCTCTGATACCTACAAGTTCTGTATCTAATTACTCAGCAAAGAAGGCAGATAATATGACAGATAAACAGATAAATGTTTCTTGTGTTTTCTGTTTCTTAAATGAGGATCACTACTTGTTTTCAACTTCTTTTAGCAATATACTTTTTTTTTTTGTAGTAGAGTTGACACACAGTGTTACATTAGTTTCAGGTGTACAAAAAAAGTGATTAAACAATTCTATAGGTTATGCTATGCTCAACACAGTTGGGAGTGAAATTTATTTTCATTACCAAACCATTTACGTTCTACTTCCCAGGGGATGTTAAACCAATAGGGCTCCGATGTTATGCAAACGTGGTTTAATTTATAAAAAGTCAATAGGCACACAATTGACTTATGAATGTCTACTTGATGCTTTTTGCTTCTGTCGGATTAAGTGACAATATATTAAAATCCAAATTCTCTTATTTAGCACAAAAGATCCTAAACAATGATCTCTATTTCTATCACTTCCTCATATAGTAAGTTGTTTTGTTTTTTGGTTTTTTTTGTTTGTTTGTTTTTTTTTTTTTTTTTTTTTTTTTTTTTTTTTTTTTTTTTTTTTTTGCCTTTTTACATGTCTTATTGTCCTTCTCCTTTCACTTCCCCTGTCTTGGCCTATCATATGTGTACTCATTCTCCAAAATAAGAATTCTCAAAATGGCAAGATGTTGGCAATGCCATTTGTTTCATTCTTATGACTGCAGGGTCTGTATTTGGATTATAATATAGTATATAGTATAGTATGATTGTAAAGGAAAATATTTTCTATATCTCCTGTCTGCAAATTATAATATTTAAAAACATAAAACTATTAAACCTAGAATTTAAAAATTAAACACAAGGCAAACTAAAGCATGATGAATTCAAACACCAGTAGTAATTTAATACGCATTAAATCACTGTTCGCATGGTACTTATTACTATGGTCCTAGTTCCTTTGACTCTTTAGAAGAGCCAATTGTCCCTGAACTTTTATTTGTCAAAGCTAAAGCCAACTTTGCTTCATTAAGTGCATCAAACATTATTTGAGCTCTGCTTCATACAAAAGCACCCTATTTTATTTTGATATTCAATAATTATCACAGTGTCTTTTTAAAAAAATTTCTAAAGACAATTTTAAATTTCTGAGAGATGCCCATTAATATGATTTTGGCTTATTTGGACATTGATAAATACCT